TACGAGTAAATATAGGAAATTGTAACAAACGGCATGTCAATCAAAATAAAATAAATTTTCCACAATTTTCTTTCGATCAATCTCACGATAAGTTAATGTTCTGCGAGCCCTGTATAAGTAGGTGTGAAGTTTACCTTCACCACAATTGTTGCCAATATATTTAATTCGAATGGGTTGCTGTAGGTGGCTATTTGTGTTTTATCCTGGATTTTGCTTTAAAACTTCGTTTTTCCATAATAAAATCGAATGGGGTGCGAAGAAGGGCTCAGTTGATGACTGGCATTCTTTTTTAACCGGAAGCCCTTCAAAAAACAGCAAAATCGGCTCAATGATGATCTAAAACTAGAATCGAAATACGCGGTCGCCTTATAGCGCTATAAGCGCTTGTCGTTTCGAGCCGCTGGTTAGGCCTCACTAAGTGACGTCACCCACGGAGCATGCAGGCCTTGTTGTATCGGTGGTAACGAGTCGCGCCGCAATATTTGGAGCATCCTGTCTAGGTGCTTCTTTATTTATTTTCATTAGTTGGTTGAGTAACGGCTTGCGAGCTTTAGCTGCAGCGTATTTGTCTTGGTATTTATTTGTGAACGATTAAGCTAGTTCAAGTTGAGTTCTGTCTGGGAATAAGGAAAGGTATGTTTCATACGAGGGGTGAACCTCGGTCAAGATTGTGTAGACCAAACTTCAATTTCACAAGGAATTTCGAGGAATTCCAGTTGTTTTTACACCAGAACTATACCGCACTTCACACAAGAAATTTCAAGAAACTCCAAGGAATTCCAGGAAATTCCAAGAAAATCCAAGGAATGGTTTGAATGGCATACACTTAGGATTTCTGGAATTATATTAGGAATTGAAAGAAAGTATAGGAAGTATCAAGGATGTACGGGAAGTATCAAGGAAGTACGGGAAGTATCAAGGAAGTACGGGAAGTATCAAGGAAGTACGGGAAGTATCAAGGAAGTACGGGAAGTATCAAGGAAGTACGGGAAGTATCAAGGAAGTACGGGAAGTATCAAGGAAGTACGGGAAGTATCAAGGAAGTACGGGAAGTATCAAGGAAGTACGGTAAGTATCAAGGAAGTAGAGGAAGTATGAGGAAGTATACGATTTTGAGGAAGTAGTGTACACCATTTAGGTCAGCGGTTTACCCCTCGGCCTCGAATCATGGTATAATTCGTTTTGTGATTGTACTTTTATTCACAAAGTGGTTCTGATAGCTCAACGTTGAGCTAGCAGAAGCCACGTTTTTTTGCATAAATCGAAGAGCAATAAATTCTTCAATACGGTGATAAATAATTAGCCTTGAATTATGGCCCAAAAAAAAAATGAATGATTCAAAGTAGTTCTGCTAGCTCAATGGAGGTTTTTTACTTAGTTATTCTGAATCTACGATCAGATAAATGATGATTGTTATACTAGGTCAGTTATAATCACAAGACTCATTCCACCCCTAATAATATTCTTCAGTTTTTCAGGTTATGACAGTAATTCATTAAATATTACTACGGGGTATTCAAAGACAAAAACAACAATTATGTCTTGGTTTCGTGAATATTAATTTTATTTCCATTCTTGCCGATATTTTATCCGACAATTATTAATAAAAGAAATTAGAATAATAAATCTCTTTCTCACCAAGTTTCAATAGTATTTTCCTCTTAGATTCATTATATGACCTCAGATTCTTGATAATTATTATACAAGGTGATTTATTCACTCAATAACTAAACATAGGAAAAAAATAATATTCTGGTCCTGATACTGATTTCGTTCAGAAGGCTCATTGTTGAAGCATGTGAGTTCAGTTGATATATCAAATTTGAACCCAATCGGGTAATCCCTGTATTTAATATGGCAGATTGATTTTTTTGTCAAAATCCATAAATTACTCTGTATGTCAGTATATTGGCAGTTCCTATAACCCCATAAGTTTCGTCGGTTTCATCTCCGAATACCCTGTATTCCACAAATAAAAATGAATATTCTGACATACGAGAAAAAAAAATTTAAGAAATCTTGAGAATAAACGTGTTGATGAGTGAAATAGGTAAGCTATACTTATACTTAGGACAAGGTACAACTCGTAGGAGTTCAAAACGATTAATTCTGGTTGGAAACAAGTCTGTTTTTCGGAAAAAACACTTTTTCATAATATGTTTTACGTATTTCTCTGCTGTGCATCACAAAATCAAAGTACCTACTTGAATGATTCATTTTCCTTCCATATCTATAACGAGGGCAATAATAGACTGTTAAATATCACAACACACTGTATAGGTTCGGTATATAGGATCAAAAAAACACGTTCCATCGGAGTCACTGGAATTCAAATTTGCTAAAGGATATATGTATACCTACAACCTGCGGACCCATGCGCTTCTAGGTGCATTATAAGATATAGTCGAGTATAAAATAGTTCACTGAGATACTTTTTTTTCAAGATTTTTCTAGTCATTAAGAAGTAGGTACCTCATTGTCAATCCAATTGGAGGTGATTTGTTCATATCCAATCCTATAATATTAAAAAAAGTTCAATAACCATGAATTATTTCCTTCAAATTTCAAAAAATGTCAATGGCATCCAAAGACTTCCAAAGACTACCAAAGACTTCCAAAGAATTCCAAAGACTTCCAAAGACTACCAAAGACTTCCAAAGACTACCAAAGACTTCCAAAGACTACCAATGACTTCCAAAGACTACCAAAGACTTCCAAAGAATTCCAAAGACTTCCAAAGACTTCCAATGGAGTGTACACCAGACTTCCAATGAGATTTACCCCTCGGGTTTAACTATCCCTTTATACAGGCTGTTCCTTAATGATATGCTAATATTCAAGGGGCTGATTCTTTGACCCATTTCAATAATGAAACTTCATATGAACATATGTCGTAAATGTCCTAACTTTTCAGATGTTGAAAATATGCATAGATTATTTTTTGTCCACCCTGTATTGCTTTTCGTGATGGCAAAATTCAGTCTGCTATATGTGACTGAATCGGTATACAAATTCCAAAATGTGACATACGGTGGTTATCCAGTAATAGATGTCCTGAATGGAGTACTCATACATCAAAGTTTGAAGTCTGGTCTCGTGCGCTCCAAGTGATAAAAAAAACATAATTAAATAGCCTCATATGGCATTGTGAGAAATTTGAAAAATTCTCGTCGTTGCTCAATTTTTAGTAAAATATAAACAATAATTTTCTCGTAACGGTGCCATTGGTAGGGAAAATGAAAATTTTTGTACATCAGAAAATGCACCTTGATGCATAAAAGACGTGTACGAAATTTCATACAGATGTATACAATATTGTCTTAGTTATCATCAAAAAACTGAATATTTTTCAAAACTTCATCACCATGTATCTCAAAAGTTAAGACCTTCAGGACATACATTCATGAGGTTTTCTTCTTAAAATGAGTCAGAGAATCACTCCCTGAAATATTAGCATGTCTTTAAGGAACACCCTGTATAAAAAGTTATAAAAGAAAACTCACCTGTACAAAAAACAAACTATAACTGCTTATTTCCAGATAAATTCTGTGCCAAAATCAACAACCCATAACACTTTTATTCATTGGAGTGTAAACATCCAAGTATACTATAGCATTGCCTACCAAAGTCTGATTCTGGAGATTTTGAATGATGGAAACAGATTCCATCAACCACACATCTAATTATTTTGATAATGGAAGGAATCTTATTCCATCCCTAAATATTCTGCTGACTCACTAATCACTAAGTCTTGATAATTCCATGAACTTTTTGATTCAATATAGGCTGATTTTTATTAGTAAATATAAATTCCACTTCATTATTTAATTTGATTGGTTGCTGATGAATAAGCATATTTATTTCAAATGTTAGTTCAAATGCCCATATTCATATAGTCTTTCGAAAAATATAGGGCAGAGATGATCTTCTACCTATTCTTTATTTATAAAATTTGATTTTGATTCCATTAGGTGAATACAGGAGGTTCGAATATCTTCAATACAAAAAATTAGAATAATATCTGTTATAGATTATTACACATCAACTTGGGTCATAGTTTCAAGTTTGGGGAGTTTAATATACAAAAGAAATTGCAAATTGTAACAAATAATTATGTAATTGAAAGTGGCCTTGTTCTTGAGTTCCTAATTTTGTGTGTATAAACAAAATGTACCCTGCTCTCTATGTGTATTTATTTAAAACATTTTTGCCAATCTTTGTTATTGTACAGTCATAATTATAAAACATTCAAGCTCGCATTCAAGTATATAAGAGAAATAAACCTCATCCAATTTGCCTATAGCAGGCTATGGGGAGAGAGAAATTAATATCATCCTATTTGCATAAAACATGCTATGGGGAATGATTGTTTACCAAATGTTGACAGTAAAGTAATCATAGGTTCTCAAACACACAAAGCTTTGGCTAAGCAAGTTTAACACAATTAGAACTAGGATGACAGCTCTCTTTTTAATACTTGTAGGCTTTTTTTATTCAAAATGACTGTACAACTGTGCTCTTCAACAAATGAGATAAAATCCTCAAGGTATCTATCCTTTGAGCAGAAACAAGATGCTTTGATACCAGCTTAGATGCTTATAGGGATTGAAATTTTTGGTTTAATAATAAACAGTAAAGAGTAGCTTGAATATGAAAAAGTGAGGTGGTATACATACAGGAACCTGAACATTCATTGGTTCATCCTCCATAAAAAGTATAATTTCAAATAAAATAATGTAAATCCTTTTTGCTTATCAACCACTTCTACAACTGGATGAAATATAAAATCAAAAATGATGAGCTGATCTATAAGTTATAAAACTCTAGTAAGAAAAACCAGAGGTGAAACCACAAATGAACCTGAGCCAAGCAATGCAATTTCCATTGGCAATGCATTGTGGATAATTATTTGAAATGAGGCACATATCAACATCAATCAGTTGGGGCTGGAGCTGAAGAATAATCAGATTCAAGGATACTTCAATTGACTACAAACTTACCAAAATATCCATCTACTCCATCATGCTCGGTGGAATTCTTACTAAAATCAAAGAATTGAGGAGCATTGAAGTTGTCAAAACTTTCGCCCATTATTCTACTCATTTGAAGAATATTGTCAAAGTATACAATACAATCGATATACTGGAGAAGAGCATCTACAAATCATAAATATATGCCGAAACTTTTATATTATTATTTATAGTTTTGACTTGGCAAATAAATATTGCTACAACCAACTTAACCGTTAATATTTTTTGTTGTTTGGAAATGGAAATAGAAGTTTGAAAGTTTGAAGTTCCAAATTTGTTTGAAATCATCATAGAACTAATACTAAAGAATGCGGAGCATGGAACACCTCACATGAAACATGAAGGATGACAACGACATATTGACAAATGAAAAGAATCTGAAAGACATAAGAGTGGTTACTCCAGGGCCGTGATGGCTGGGGCTGTTTTTGGTTCCGGTGTTGATATTTGGCTGCGAACAGCATCACCGGCAAGTGTCGACATTTCATATTCCAGTAAATACAAAAACATCCCTGGTATCTGGAATGTCATATTCATGTCTCGCAAGAGTCACAAGGTAAAATGCAAATATAAGACAACATTGGTACAGCCATACCAGGGCACTCTAAACACTGAAGGCCCTGATGCCTAAGATGCGCAAGATAAATATCAAAAATTATCATATATTACGCTAGCGTAAGCGTAATATATCAACGCTTAATCAACGTTTAAAGTCTGACCACCAGTCTGACCAACCAGCTGTTTGGGAATATCGGTCACGTTTCAAGTTAACACGTTAACTTTTGATGGGAGTCGAGTCTTGGTCAAACATTGACCATTCTGGTATCACCACTGTGGTTGAACGACTGACTTGAAACAGCCAAAAATATTGTGCAGTTATTCGGAACACGTTCTCATGGTTTCCATCAATAATCAGCAGCAGTTGATTTGATCAGCTGGTGAAATTTGAATGTCATATTCTCAGCGTCAATTATTTTAACAACAGGTATTTTCTGATATTGAATATATTATTATCGATTTATTATTGAGACAATACTAAATGTTTGGTAATAACGGAAAAGAATGTCAAATTCCTTTCCCCTCTAGAATAATGACAGTTTACTGAAGTCGCACACTACCTTTTAATTGTCAGCAATTTGAGCAGATAGTCGAATCGACAAATCCGGAATGGTTAGTATGTCTGCTCATGGCGCGTTCACATGCTGACTTTTCGCCTTTTGACTTACAGCGTATCCCCATCTCATTGGCCGATTCGTCAGAAAGCGCTTATCGAGGTCATAAGCTGGAAAGTCGGTTTCAGTCCGACTTTTGCGGAAAAAAGGTCAGATCGTTTGACAGAACCACACAAATATTGACAAAATGAATACATATTGGTGCTATATCATCATATCCATTCCACTTACGAATCCACCAGTGGAGGTCATGGACTTCTATTCATCTAATAATCTCAACACCCTTGCTTTCCATTTTCGGGAAGTGAATGACCTCAATGTATATGAGACTATTTCAAATATCAAAACTAATGCTAAAGGGTGTGATGGATTGAATATCAAGCTTATTAAACTATGCTGTCCTCATATAGTACCTTTTATCACCCACATAGTTAATTTTTGTCTGACTGAAAATGTTTATCCGTCCTTGTGGAAAAAGGCTGTAGTCAAGGTTTCACCAAAAAATAAAAGCCCAAGTGAATTCAAGGACTTGCGACCAATTAGTGTGCTACCGGCCTTGTCGAAAGTTTTAGAAAGGGCCATGGAAATCCAAATAAAAGATCATCTATCAAATCACTCTTTGATACCTCCTGTTCAGTCTGGCTTTCGTAAGGGTTTCAGTTGTACGACAGCCTTGCTCCACATAACCGATGACATATTCAAGGCCATTGATAAAGGTCACTGTACAATACTAGTACTGTTAGACTTCAGCAGAGCATTTGACACTATCCATTATGACTTGCTATTAAATATGTTACAATATATAGGTTTTTCAAAAAATGCTCGCCTACTCATGGAAAATTACCTCAAAAATAGACAGCAAAAGGTATGTATAGATGATATTAGCTCAGACTATCTAACATTAAGATCTGGTGTACCTCAAGGATCAATACTAGGACCGCTATTATTCTCAATTTATTCGTCACACCTTATTACCAGAATTATTTCCTGTAATGTGCACCTTTATGCAGATGATACGCAGATATACTTTAGTTTTCCTCGAAATATGGTGGATTATGCTTGTACGGTAATCAATAATGAGCTTAACGCTTTTGTTAAAGCAGCTTCGGATCACTGTTTACTTATTAATCCTAGCAAATCCAAGGTCATGCTGTTTGGGAGTAGATACCATCGTGAAAATGTGATTAACTCAATTAATATACATATTAGCAATGAACAACTTTCGGTGGTAAAGGAAGCGAGAAATCTGGGTGTCACAATGGACTCTGACTTAAGATTTGAAAAACATATAAATAAACAGTTACAACGTGCTTACGGTAGTCTGAAAATTATTTATGGTAATCGGCATTTGTTATCATCTGGTATAAGAAGAGTTTTATGCGAAACACTGGTCCTGTCCCTATTCAACTATGCCGATGCACTCTATGGTCCCAATCTAACAACCCAATATAAGAGAAAAATACAAAAAGTACAGAATTCATGCCTTCGCTTGATTTTTGGAATTCGACGTCGCGAAAGAATCTCGCACAAGTTACGTGAAATTGGATGGTTAAATATGGACAATAGAAGAATTCACCATACTGTCACTCTGTATCATAAAATTATAACCAAAAAAGTACCCCCCTATCTAAGTAATAGAATAGCATACCGTACAGACGTTCATAACTTGAACATAAGAAATAAGGGGCTTCTAACCGTACCAACTTTCAGAACCGAATATTTTAGACGCTCATTCAGTTATCAAATATGGCTTTTATGCAACCCGATTCTGGAAAAAATGAGAACATTGAATGCATCAAAATTCAAGCTGATACACAAAATTCATCTATTAGACGCTCAAAATTCGACTTGGAACATAACATATGATTTACCGGCTATGTACATATATCAATATAAAATAGGTTATACTCAATCCCTAAGTATTTGGCATTTTCCTTTTTTTAGTGTATATATACACAGGTTTTTGTGGGTTAAGTGGAAGAATATTTCTTGTTATGCTCTCTCGTGTAACAAAAAATAAACTTCGCCCTTTACTTCTTCAATATGTATTTACTCAATTTAATTCCTGTAATAATTTATAGAAGTAATAAAGACGATTTATTATTATTATTATATTATTATTATGCAGTGTGAGAAACAGTGCTGGAAAAACACTCCTAAAAATGTGATAAATGTGGTTTCTGGAGGACGTACATCTGAAATTTAACCAAATATGTGGCAGTCGCTGTCACTTTTCCAACTTTTTCATGTGAACAGTGCGCCCGTTTTATTGAAGCTTTCTGCTGTAGGCATAAGCTGGCATGTGAACTCGCCATCACAAGTATATTCAGTGAATTTTTTCGATTTCGGAATGAAAAATCAGCAGATTCAGTACTGACAGTTGAATTCGGAATATAACCCACAAAAGCGCGCATCAGACCATAACAATACAAACAATATCAGAACTGAATGAAGCCGGCACCCATGCCTCCTTCCTGGCCCGAGACAACGTTGGTCACCGAGCCGCCATTTTTTTGACAGCCATTTGAAAACTGGCAGCTGGTTTTTGGATTGGATTTGGTTTTGAACGAGAACCGAGAACGACTTTTAAGCATATACTTTTCAAGTTCAAGTCTTTAACTTCAAAACTTCAAGTTTAAATTTTTATTCAAGTTTCAACAGTGGAGTATTGGAGAGTGGAGTTTTTATGGTTACAACTCTGAAAGATTTGTTTGGTTTTGGCAGGTTTTGGTTTATTTCGTCGGTTACAAAATAATCATTACATATGAATTATTCCATGTAATGCTTTGGTTGCTTGCTGATTATAATTTCAGTTGAATTCTACTGGTCTTGCTGTGCAAAGGTATGTTAAAAATCTATGCCATAGTTTATAAGTACTCAACGCTCACCACCTCACCAAAATGTCCATTAGAATAAAATTGAAGTTTTGATAAAACATAATTACCAGCTATGGTGTTGTTATGGGTAGATTTTGGACTGTAAACCTGAATCTTCTGAGAACTATGAATTTCTCATTATGTGTTTTGGCTCAATCATGTTTTTTTGTCACAATTCCCAATGAAAGCTGAATGTTCAGATAGATTCAGCTCAGTTTTTTATGTTACCAGTGATAGGTAATTGTGGTAATGATTTTTGTTTGAATGGTGTTTCACACTTTAGCAGACTCAGGAGCTTTTATCAGTAAGGAATCTCTTGAAAGTGTGAAATTTACCTAATATACTTGATAATTTACCTATATATCCTTCAAAACCATCAATTTGTCATATTCTCTACCTATTCATACTATTTCTTAAGTTTTATACTCCTTTCCAGAATATTCCAAGTGAGAATTTTGTATAGTCAGCAAATTCCAAAGATATTTCTATAGTATTCGGAATTGACTCTTAAACCTAGTCTTAAACTATAGTGATTCTAAGAAAATCAATGTAGTGATATTAGCAAAGGTATTGGGCTTGATTTAAAAAAAATCAAACTGCAATCATCTCACCTTTTTTGCTGACTAACTATAAGGACCTCGATAAGGACTTTTATGTGACTTCCACATTTCAGTTATCATTTAGAAAACAAAAAGTCATGAGGTACACAGTCTCAAGACACTCTTACTCTTGTCTAATGTGTGTAGAATTATTCATAGCTGATAAAAATCAAGATGAAAATGAAAGTTTAGCGATTTTGAAATATAATTCAACATTTTTATGGGTCAAATGAAACATCCTATTAATAATTCCACAATTTGAAAAAAATTATACAGAGAGTTCACCTCTGTGTGGCTTGATTTTTGACTTTTCTTTTGGGTTGTTATTCAAATAGTAAACAAGGGTATTAGGATTTGGTTTCAAAACTAATGCCAGAATTATTATTATTTAGAATCAATTGAAACAAATCTAAGGATGATTATCATCATAAAATACAAGGTGTATATTGAGTAGGTACACCATAATTTAAGGCTAATTCAAGGCTCTTCATTCAACCTATTATCGATTTTTTTTGTTAATCATTTTCTGCAAAATTTTTCTAATTCAACATGAACATGACAATAAAATAGCAAATCAGAAAAGTTCAATCAGGAAACAAATTATACCATATAAT